GAAAACAATACTTAATTCGAAAAATAAAGTATAGTAGTCGATTGTTATAGCAAATATACGTTTGCTTAATCGACAATCCCACCAAAGAATATGATATGGCAAAAAGGCCTGGCCTTCCTTGAAAATTCAAATTTGCCCTGTGACCTAAAAGGCGCTCGTGGCAGTGTAGCCGAGGGGTTAGCGTGTCAAGCTCCCATCCTGTATTGTCGCGGTTCGACTCCCGATGAGGGTGTTGATAAGACCGATGCGAGGTCGAAACTGCAGTCCACTTCAGCCTGGATGAGAACAACTTTTGAGAAACCAAGGCTATGTGAAATTCAATGGAAACGTCAGGTCAACTCATAATATTGTGAAAAATTCTTATTCTACCATTCCTTCATCACCTTAAACGAAATTGGGTGAATAAATCTCATATTAGATAACTCAGTTGTGATTTGACCTGGTTTGGGTAACCTAATCGTGCTGTCAAGGCGACCTAGATGAAGCAGCCTCTCCGGATTCCTCTGCCGTAGTGCTGATGATAATTGCCAGCCTCGGACAATAGACTTGGTACCTCGGGAATGTGTAAAGTCGATAGCTAAACCCTGAGAATTATCATAACAACCATGACATAGAACTTTCGAGAATCTTCGTTCAATGAGACCTCTCTGAAAACACGCGCAAGGTGTGGAAATGTGGTCAGACCACATCTATATAGCAAAATCAGGTTGCGACCAAAATAGAAGTCACAGTGTTTTGGTTTTTACCCCCTTCACTAGATTTAGAAAACTTAGATCGCAGATGTGAAGACCATGCTTGGTGTCGCGCAGAATACAGGAGCCAGATTGTGTCGAGTAAGCACCAGTTTAGAATGGATTTTAATTGAAGCCATGATTTTGCATTATAACTCAATGAACCATCCATCCAAAAGGGCCTAAAATATGGCTTCGACCTTGCTTCGGTCCCATCAAAGCCTCCGCCAATATTTGAATTGGGGATGTGCGGGTTCACGACCAAACGACTTAAATGGCGTGGAGATGCATGACCAAATGAGCTCTACCAAAACTCAGGGAAGGCGTCGAGATTAATCGTACACACTATGTTGCCCATCGATACAAGTGTCCCCGGCACAGATGTGAGCCAAATGAATACTGATAGTCTACCTCGAAACACTCCGCATGTGAATAATCAAGGCTAAAATCCTGTGAGAGAGGCAGAAAGGTGCGGGGCGAGATCGAAAATGCAACAGTGCCGTGAGCTTCAATGCGATACCCCTAGCCTAAACGATGACATGGAAGTGATGCGTATAAGTGTCCGATAAATTTCATAACATTTACTAATGCCTGAAACCTAGGAAGAAACTGGGTTTTAAGGATTTTCTTAAGAACTTCATGTTGTTGTATTTTGGGTTTCATTTACTGATTTATTGCAATGGCCAATTTATGTAAATGGTGCCTATCACATGACAGACAATAACTCAGCATGGGCTCATCAAAGTCGCTGAACGGTGTGCCGAGAACGTATTTGCACAAATCAACAAGCAAAACTTCAAAGGAATCCTCCGTCGCTTTTGGGTGAGGCCACTTCAAGGACCTATCCACTCACCATGTGAAACGATTTGCGAGGTACAACAATAGGATATACCTAACCTGTGATTCCCAGTAGCCTATGCTGATAGTCTAGCCACTCTATGAAATTTATTCTGGTTTTATACACTGAAATGGGGCTTGAAAAACCATCTTGAATGGGAATGGGGTGCTTCTGGAAGGCTGGTCAGATGGTGTAGCGAGCTGACGTAAAGTCCGGAAGAATGACCATCTCAATGGAAACTACGATTATACGGACATTTATTAATAGATACAACTATAGATATCTGTATTGGTAGCAAGAAACTGTGAGGTGGAGAG